TTTGGTGACCGGAACGGTCACTGATTTTCATCAATGACCGTTCTGGTCACCTAATATATATATATTTTTATGGCCTCGTCTAAGATGAGCCCATGAGCCTGGCTCGTGGGCTAGTCTCACGAGCCGCTCGCCGAGCCGCTAGTAAATAGTGACGAGCCGCTCGGCTCATTTGACACCACTAGCTGTTTCGTGCTATTTTCTATTGGATTGAAAATATTTGGGGGATTTTGTGTGCTGCTACTGCTTGTTATACGGTGTTCTGGTGCTTTCGCGTAAGATGATCAGAGACATTTCCCTCACCAGTTATCACCTGATGCATTTTTACTAGCATGGTTTGTTATATATTCTAAATTTGATTTGCTGTCGAATTCTATAGTTTTGAATGAGGTGTGTTGGATATTCGATGCACTCTCTTTTTTTGTCGTTTTCTATTGGTATTTGCAACACAAATTTAACATATATAGGAGGCGAAATGTAAGCAATGCATTTTCGAGACTAGAAAGGAAATTTTTTCATGCACCAATACTCGGATTCCAAGCAGCATGTTTCATACAATGGCACAAGAATGTATTTCACTCAAAACATGGAAAAAAATTAATAAATATAGAACTGAGTGCCAAATTTTAAGACTTCCTAGTCGCTTTTCTCACCTAGTTTATATCTGATTTTCTTGTTTGTTTTCTACCTATAGTTCATCCTCAAAATGATGAAAGTGTCTTCTTCACCAATCATCTTCATAAGTTCCCTTGTCGATTTCAAATATGATTATCTTCTGGTGACTTGCACTGCCTTCTCTTCGTCCCATTCATCGTCCCAACTTTCATCCCAACCCTCTGCTGTCTCCACGTTTGAAGAAAAACCAGATTCTTGATGCCCCATTTCAAGTTCCTGATATGGAACTCCATTAAGATGTCGTTCCCTTTTTATCAACTTGCAGCAGGCCCACGTACCTCCGATAAACAAAACTGTCACAAAGAGTATATATGTCCCGTTGACTGGTGTCAAATATGTGGTATAAGGAGCTTGTGGTACTGAAGTTCCTAACTGTATTGTGCAAACCCCATCTCCAGCATTTACTGAAATTGAAGAACTTCCCTCCATCTTTGATTTTATATTCACCTGGTACAGCACGAGGTGGCAAAAGTGATCAGAAAAACAATTCTGAATGAATGATGCTACTCAATGACCCTGTCAATAAAAAGTGAGATTATTTTTTTCACCGAACATTGCATTTCCTTTGCGTCATTTCACATAGTTAACAGGAATAACCTATGTAACAACGATATAACTATACCTTCTTGACTTCGTGTGCAGCTACAACAATGTTCTCCAGGGTTTCATTTGCAGGATGAACAGTGATATTTAAATTGAGAGAGCTCTCACCATCATTCAGGACAAGCAAAAATGATTCTTGGAATCCTGAAAAGAAAACAGATAGTTTGATAACTCAGCCTCCCACAAAGAAAAAATTGTTGGAATATTTTGCATGAACCAGTATAATCTTACCCGATTTACTTATGTATATTATAGCATGTTCTCAACAACTATATTAATGTGATGTCCGCACACTATATTATACACCAGGCTGTAATGGGATGGTCTGGATGGACATATGTTTATGACTAGCAGCCTGAGGCCCATGCCTCGGTCTCTTAAAATGCTTTGGAAGAACTTCTCTAGCACCAATACATAAGCTCAATACTTCAGCTCAACCCATAAGCCTCACATGTCATTCAGTCAATCACACTTGTCATAAGAACTAAGATAACGCCGATTTCGCCAAATCTGATAATGATTGATGATAAACAGAGATGCCATGAATGTTCTGTGTGCCACATAAGCTTTCAATAATTTGGCACCATTGATCGTGAATATTAATGTGGATGCTTATATGGTTTCGTGACGATCAAAGCACTGACTTCTGGATGACGATAACAAGAGAGTGATGTCATGCTGTTGAGAGCCAAATATGCCTTCTTACTCCGGTTTCAACATTAATGTTGTTTTGAGATTTGAGTTCAGATAAAAGAGGGGTAAAGTATTAGGTTTGGCAACTCAATGGGAACAGTTAAGGCTTTTGATGTACTTCACTGGAACAACAAGTAATAATGCGTCTTTGTTCATCCCCTGAAAATCTCTAAGGAGACAGTTGAAACATTATTCTCCCTAAAACTGGAAACACCAAATTCAATGCACTAACTGCGGCTACTTATGAATTAACATACTGTGTTCTATTCTGTTATCCCAATACAGCGCCGAGCAATAGGTTTTTCCACACTAATGAAACCCTTTTCAACAGATGGAATACTGCTCTACAGAACAAATCATAATTAAATGACCATAACTCGCTCAAATTGGTGCATTAAAATTGTGTAGTTTATCTCTCTCTGTAAATTTAGTCAACTAATCACTCACTCAAACTCATCATCACGACAACATAATGCCCATTTCAGAAATCCGACAATTAATGAATAAAATCCACACTCAACTAACAAAATCGTCTTGAAGAATCAGAAGATAGTTCATCTATTTTCTTCAGTATATAGTAGCACTGAACAGGATAATTAAACATCCAATCCAATGAAATAACAGGACTAAAAATAAACATATAACAATTGAATGTACCATTTCCAACAGAAGGGGCACAGGCCGTAATGTTGTATTCATTGATTGTGCAATTATTCGACGCCACGCATGCCTTAACTGACTCCGGGGAATTCTTGGAATCCCCAGACTTCAAATTGGCCGAAGGAGCCGGGCTTGGAGATGGAGAAATCTATAAAGACAGGCAAAAAATTATCGAATTCCCGTAATCAAATAACTAAATCAATACAGTAAAGAATAAATAATATGTGGGTTCAAACCAGAATTGGTTTTGGCTTTGGATTGTCAGGCACAGCTATTTTACGGACAAAACCAAGAAAAGAAGCATGTGAATGTTTGGGGATACACGAAATGAAGATAATAATCACAAGAACAGGCACCCATTGATTCATTCTCTTAGATGTCAGGAAATTTTTTTCCTAAACCCAGTTGCTAAGATTTAAATGAACGTTGGAATTGGAATGACCCGTGTGAAAAGGGTCCTTTGAACGAACATGATGAGGAAGCTTCATTGTTATTATTCAGACAAAAATAATTGGATCGAAGAGACAACGTTGACGGATTCATAGAGGAAGACGAAGAACAAAACGCGTAGACAAAAGCAGGCGACTCTCTTGTACAATCCAAATTTCTTCTCAAAACCGTGGGGTCCTCAACGTTTGACATGTGTTGGACCTGAGTCCCTAACTTAATAAATAGAGCACCTGGGTCCTCAACAGTTTAAATTCTAGCGTTCAAGTCCTTAATGGACGTAAAACCATTTATTTTAATGTTAAAAGTGAAAAGGAAAAAGAAAAACCAAAAATTGCAAAAACAATAAATGAAAATGAATGGACCTACCCAATCCTACTCTATATTTCCTTTTTTTTTTTTTTCCCATCACAACAAGAAATGATGACGAATGGCCATACCCATGTATGTGAAAACACATTAAGGCCGTGTTTGATAATGAAACTTAGAATTTAAATTTCATTTCCCACCAATTGGTTTATTTGATAGCCATAATTTTCTTGATAATTATTTTTCCACTTCATCCCCACACGTGCACCTTTTCTACCTTTTTGATGAATTTGGTTTCCCACCATTCTGGTGAAAAATAAAATTCCAGCTTTTTTTTTACTCTTTGGCAATGGAAACAAATTTTATAATCAATTGTGGGAAAAATTATCACTTTAACGGACAATTTCCATATAAAACAAAATTAAACGAACACAAAAAGATCCAAAATTTTAAAATTTTTCGGGTAGAAAATTATACAATCAAACACATTTAATTAACAATTCCCTGAAAAACAAGTCCTATGCAATTATTTTCTCTGAAATTTATTTTCTTTCCACACATTTTTCACAATTGCAATCAAACGGACCCTAAAATCTTACACATCTTTAAAATTTATTAAAAATCAACAGATTCAACGTCAAGCTATCTTGCTACCTTTATATATTGAATCAACTGAGTTGGTGGTGGTAATTTTGATTAATCAGCCTATGTTTGTTTCCAATTTTCATCTCGTTTTAATGCATTTTCTTACCGTTATAAAAAGGTGCAGCCTTTTTTTTTGTTGACCATTTTCTCTCGCAACGTCTCCAAAAAGTTTGAAAAAAAGGGTACAAAAATTCATTTTTGTTGTAACAGGGGCTCGATTTATAATCCTGAATACTTGATTCTCGGCCTTGTTTCATAAAAAATAAAATAAATTCAACTTATTCATCCAACTTTATTACCATAGAGATAACTTTATTTATATCCATACAGTACCGAACTTTTGCAAGAGATAAACACAGGACTGCACTGAAAAACAAAAATACAAACATACCACACTTTCATTCTACCAGATCCTCACTGACCTCCAAAGCCAGCACTACCTAAATGCACCTTTCGTTGATCCTTGCGGCAGCCGCTACCGACGCCGCAACTCCACCAGGATGCGCAGTCAAATTAGGATCATTCCGAAGCTCTGCAATCAAAATCCCTTCTGCGTCTTCCCTCGTTGCAACCTTATCCGCCGGCAGGTTTTGCTTTGCTCCCTACACACACATCAAGACAGTAAGAAAACGTCTTTTTTTTTTCCTTATCTTTCTTCATTTCGTATTACATACTGTTAAAACATCTTTGAGTTTGATTTTGCCTTGATCCCCAATCAATCCATCATTGTAAGCTGCGGCAGATTGGGCATTGGCGGCGAGGCCTCCCGGAGTTATGATGTTAGAACCCGTTGCTCTACATTCTGCCTCCTGTATTGCAGCGGCGTCGCTATGATCCACCGGTTTATCCCTCGCAGTTTGTGCTGAGGCTTCGAGGGCTTCTCCTATGGTTATGGCGGACTGGACTTCTCTTGATGCTGTCATTTGTACTACCGGTGTAGACTGAACATACTGTCCTACAACCTATTATTACATTTACAGCTAAATATTAGCACAACAACAAATTGTTCTAAAAATTACATTTGGCAAAAGTAAGTTAATTAAAGTAGTTTTAAGTAACTACCTGTCCAGTAACTGATTCGGTGATTATACGAGTTCCAGGAAGATCAGTTTCTGTAACAGAGACGCCTTCTTTTTCGGCTATCTCGGTGACATCGCGGGGGCCAACAATACCAGCCCTTTCATTTCGGGTGGCAGCAGACTGCATGACGGCGGCCGCACCACCCTTCTGGGTCTGACCGAGGACGGTAGTTTCAGCGAACTGCATCATGGCAGCATCTTCAGGCGCAACTGGCTTGCTTGCTAGCTCGCCGGAAACTTGAAAAACATCCCCATATTTGACAGGTTCTTGCTCCGCCGCCTGAGGCCTTCTTGGTTGTTCTTGACTCATTTTTGCAGGCCAGATAGCACTTTTTCTTTGAAAGATTATTGGCTGTATATGTATAGGTGACTGGTAATTGAGGTGATGACACATTGGGTTTTTTAAGACACGTGGCATTTGGAGAGTTACCTGAGCTGGAATTAAGGTTACACGCGGCAGATTTAAAGGTTAAGTGTCTACTGATGATTTTTGGGAGAGACAAAGGTGACTAGGTGAGGCGGCACGCACTCGTACGATGATTGATGCTACAATTCAATTGTGTTAGTTATGTGAAATTCTTGATCTGATTCGGATGATGGGTTAATTTTATGATTTGGTTAAAAAATAAAGATCCCAATCCCATGCATATTTATAAAATATAATTAGGTTGTAGATATATATTAATAATCATTTACACTAATTACACGACATCGATCTAGTTAAAAACTTTGTTTGGCAAAAAATCGATGAAAAAGATACAAATGAAGAGAAAAGGAGTACAATTAATTATAAAACAAAATTTGAATTAATCAAATAATGTCTCATTAAAAAATGATATGTTCGTCGGTGTTGACTAACCTAAGCAGTCGAGGATATATATTGTTGATGATTTGACCGAAGAACTACATGCACCTTGTGTGAAAAAAAATTCATAATCACAAATGGCGCAACTAGCTCTTTACGATCTTCTTTAGAGCATCTAACACCTTTACGATACTTTCGAGGTCATATTTTCAGGAAAATTCACTCGTACTATTGTCAGGAGCTTACTCCATCATGTAATAACACGTGAATTTTAGTAACTTAAATAAGCAAATTTTAAAGATAATGAAGTTTCTCACATATTAGGATCAGTGAGGAACTTTCTTCACTGGTCGTAAGGATCGAAGATGATTGAATATTCAACAACCTTAGGTTGAAACAACGAATTCAAATTGTTTTTCTAATAGACCACAACTAAGAGATTTAGCCCTTATTTAGTTTTGCTAAAAATCAAAATTTTAATAGATTTTGATAAAAATGAATAAAATATAAGATACAAATTATAGATTTCATAAAATGTATTATTAAAATTAATTATTAACTTAATTTTTTTCAACTATTTTAACTAAATCAGAAGGGACTAACGTGCCACATGGTCAATGTTCTCATGGCCTAAATGCTTTACCATATTTTCTCTGCTGATCCCAACTTTTCGCTCCCTCCCTTTTGCTCAAAACTCACGTCCACATTCTGCAACACAATCTTCTCTCTCTCTCTCTCTACTTTGATTTTGAGCGAGCGAGCGAGAGAGAGAGAGAGAGGAGAGAGATTCTCATATTGCATTGCATTAATGGAATCTCTCAACGGAGCAGTCGAACCAGCTGTAGCTGCTGTACCCTCTTGTAGTCTGGAAAAACAAGGGTGTTTTTCACCACTACAAGAAAAAATTTCAAAGTTATTGTCTCAGTGGACTGCACTTCAAATGGCTGTTCAGAATGAGTGGGGAGGCTGCGATTCATTGGAGAAATCAGAGCAACTTGCCTCCGATGTATTCTCATGGCTCTTTCAATCTAAAGGTGAAATTCCATTTCCCCGATTTCGTGATATTTTTCAGATTTTCTTGATTATATATTATTTGAATAAGTACGAGTGTTCTCTTTGTAATTCACATAGCATAAAATTAAATATACGAAATTTCTAATCAGTTTATGTATTTCCTAGGAGATGCACGGAAACCTCTATAATATTTCTAGCATTTCTAACTTTTTTTTAAGAAATGACATTTCTTGTCACGTTTCGTTACCTAGGATATTTTTGTCCCATTTGTATACTTTTTATAGTTTCTAACGTGGTATTAGAGCCAAACAACGTGTATAATAGTAGTTCGTGTCCTCATTCATACAGTAATTATATCCGAGCAATGCTATGTGTACAAAATTGGATTACAAAATGGTTGACAAAATATGTGTTGGCAAGATTTGGGCCAATGATTTAAAAAATAGCTTTTAAAATCATTGGTTCAGATGTTGCCAACACATATTTTGCAACTCAATTTTGTACAAGTAGGTTAAATTATATCTTGAAACCCTTTTCGTTTTTTATTTTATTTTTAGTTATTCCTCAAATGCTTATGTTTGAACTATGAAGATCTGCATATGATTTATCTAGCATCGTCATTTACCATTTACTCTAGGAGCATACATATACTGGAATAGAGTGGCAAAAAGAGACTCACTTATATAGCTGATCCTAAATTTATTGAGAACAAGATTTAGTTTGTCGTCTACGAGTATATATATTATTTTTGTGGTAAATGGAAAAATCAAGAACATGTTAAATATAGAAAATTTAATATATGCTGTTTTATTAGGAGAATTACTTCAAGTAGAAGATTTAGAGAATTTGCTGCATGAGAGATTGTTGCTTTCCTTCAACACAGAAATTGAGGATGGCAGCATTGAGGAGGTCCTTTGTTTTTTATGGCTTATGCTTTTCTCCTTTTTGTTGAGTCCGCTTAATATTAATTACAATTTTTTTTCCCTTCATTTATAAGAAGGTGGCTGAACAGTTGATGATTATTCGCGAAGATCATTTGCATGGAAATCTTGTTCCTGTTCAAGAAAATCATCAGAAAGTCGGAAAAAGAGGGCAGCAAACTCTGGTATAATCCTTTATTTCCATATGAAAATCTCACATTTTAGGGCTTTGATGAAAAAATAAATTCGACTTGGTACTTTAGAAGGCACATTGAAGATAATAAATTATTATATTTGTGGCAAAACCGTTTTTGGACCTTTGTAGATGACAAGTTAATTTTTCATTTTTTATTTTTGTTGACGTAGAAACCCGTCAGCGGAGCACCGACCACCTCGAAAGGGCGAAGCCCTGCCCACTTTGAGTGCACACTAGGTAAATCCACAGACCACACATGAGAGGTAAACAGCACTAGGCAAGCTCGGTGCGACGGACTCGACTGAGGAAGTATTGGCAGGGAATTCGAACTCGTGAGCTTCGACCTCCGCGTTCACCTGCTCCACCAATTCGACCACCCCTAAGGGGTTATGTTAATTTTTCATATTCTCTTTTAGACTAATGGGTTCAGGCAAAAGTGATAATTGAAGAAAGGAGGCATATGGGACACTAGTTGCAGTGCTTACCTGCAAAACATCAGATGAACTGTGCTCAAGAAACATGAATGAACAGAAAGGTAATTACCATTTAACTATCTAGTTTCGTCCAGTACTATGACGTATATACTAAACATGTTCAAAAGCTGTATTAGTTCGAGAAAAATTGTTCCAAAAATAAAGGAATTATTTGCATTCTCCTTCTTTTTTTCTTCCTTTTATTAATTAAATTCTCTAAATTGTACATATGTGTAGGGTTTTTCATGGACATGGAGAATGAGCTCTTTCATCTATGCAGTGAACAAGAATCAGTGATTTCCATTTTCCATTCTTGACTCTTGAGCATAATTTTTTTTAGGGAAATATATTTGTTTCCTCATCAGTCATGAAGCTCAAGAGCTCTTTCCTTAATCTATACTAAAACTCTTTGTCCTGAATAAAGAAACTATGTTTGATGTTTTGCTCTTGACAAACTATATTAAGGTCAAGCTATTGTAAGTCATATGATATATAAGCATGCCTAGGTTGAGGTACATAAGGCCAATGCCAGAAGGCTAATTCAACTTGTAAAGAGTTGTAGTAGAGGATAAGAAGTTGAGCACGAGGCGGCCGGTTTATCACCTACTATATTAACTGCTTGTTTGGGATAATTTAAAAAGTCAAAGTTCAACAATTAATTTTAACTACACAGATTCACACATTCATCAACCTTTTTACCAAAATTAGCTACAACTTTTATAAAAAAAAATTGTCAAACAAGCTCTAAATTAAAGGTCTCTATTTTTATTTCTTGTTGCACTTGTATCTCCAGCTTTTTTATCACATTCTAATCATCCATCTCACACTTATTAGTGCATAATATCTCCAAAAGTTTTATGAGCATGCTTTATAAAAATGGGAAAT